GTTGGCCTCCATTGTCCATGACTCTTTCAGCACAATTGTTCTAAGCCCCATAGCAACAAACTCTGAGCACACAATGGCTCTTCCAGCCCAAAGTTCCAAACACTTCCACAGTCCTCCCCAAAAACACCAAGGTCAGTCTGTCACAGCAATGCCCTACTTCTGGTACCAATTTCTGTCCTAGTTTGTTTCTTCATTACTGTGACAAAACACTCTGACCACTACCAACTTGGGGAGGAAAGGGTTTATTCAGCTTACATCTCCCAGGTCGCAGTTCATCAAGGAGCTCAAGGTAAGAACTCAGGGCAGGAACCTGGAGGCAGGAGCTGGAACACAGGCCATAGAGGAACAATGCTTACTGGCTTGCTCCCTTGGCCCCAGCTCAGCCTGCTTTCTTATGCAACACAGGCCCACCTGCCCAGGGGTGGCACCACCCACAGTGGACTGAGCCCTCCCACATCACTCATTGAGAAGATGCCCTTCAGACAATGGCCACAGGCCAGTCCAATAGAGGCAATTCCCCAATTGAGGCTCCCTCAACCCAGGTGTGTCAAGTGCACACTAAAGCTATCCAGCACAGATAGGGTTTCACTATGTAGCCCTGGCTGGTCTGGAACTTGCTATGGTAGACCAGGCTGGCCTCAAACTCAGACCCACCTGCCTCTGCCTCCCGAGTGCTTGGACTAAAGGCATGCACCACCACACCCAGCGATATCTTAATTTTTTAGTTAAAATTCTTTTTAATATTTTCCTACCACAATTTGGTTCTTTTGGTTTTTTTTTGAAACAGTTTCCCTGTAGACCCAGCTGGCCTGGAACTCATATGTAAACAGTCTGGCCTCCATCTCATAGAGATCTGTCTGCCTCTGCCTCCCAAGTGCTGGAATTAAAGGTATGTGGCATTACACGTGGCACAATTTAGTATTTTTTAAAATTTTTTTATTTAATTTTTATTTTATGTGTATGCGTGTATTGCCTGCATGTAGGTAAGTGCACCCGAGTCCAGCAATGCCTGCAGAGGTCAGAAGAGGCTGTTGGATCCCCTGGGACTGGAGTTAGACAGTTGTTAGCTTTCTTGTAGGTGCTGGGATTCAAACTTGGGTCTTCTGCAAGAACAACCAGTGTTCTTAACTGCTGAGCCATCTCTCCAGCCCAGTTTTTAAAATTTTTTTATTTTCATGTGTATACGTGTATTGCTTGTATGTAGGTAAGTGCACCCGTGTTGTGCAATGCCCGCGGAGGTCAGAAGTGGTCAGATCCCCTGGGACTGGAGTTACAGACCGCTGTTAGCTGCTATGTGGGTGCTGGGATTCAAACCCGGGTCTTCTGCAAGAACCAGTGTTCTTAACCACTGAGCCATCTCTCCAGCCTACAATTTATTTTGGTCTTTTTGAGACAGGGTCTCCCTGGAGTCCCAGCTGGCCTGGAACTCTATGTAGACCAGGCTGGCCTTGAACTCACAGAAATCCGCCTGCCTCTGCCTCCGGAGTGCTGGGATTAAAGGCGAGTGCTGCCGTGCCTGGCTCAATTTAGTATTTTTTTAAGATTACTGCACTATAGGCATTCTCTGGTAGTTCAAAGCACTTTGTGAATAGTATTGGTAAAACACTTTTGGTGTTTTGTGGTATCTGACTCAAATAGTGATACTGTAAAGGTAAGAAGAGTACTGAATTTCTAAAATGTAAATTTTATTTAGTTTTTAAATAAATAATACATTTACATAGTTCACCATTCAAAAGATAAAAAAGACAGAGGCTTGGAAACAATCATTGGCCAGCTGCTTGTCCTAGGGGAGAGCTTGTCTCCTTTTGCCCCTCTAGGCCCCTGCTGCAGAGTGAGTTACCCTCCACTGCTTCCCTCTTATCGGGTAAAAACAGTTGTAGTGTCACCCCAAAGACTCTCTCACCACCCTGTTCCCTGTGGCACTCCACAGTGCGCCCTGCTGGCACGTGCTGATGGCTGGCACTGTTCGGTGGTGGTAAGGGCACAGGCTCAAGTTCGCAGACAGCGGCCCCTCCCACCCTGCTTCATTTGTTCTTCATAGTCATGCTGGGACTCGAACCCAGGGACTCCTGCATGCAAGGCATATGTTCTAGCGGGGCACTACATGCCCCAGACCTAGTTCTGTTCTTGAGGGCACATTTTTCAGAACTGTTTGCAGTGTGAGGCTTTCAGACCAAGGACTTCCATTGCTTTCCCAGTGGCCTGTGCTTTTGGAGATTCCCTGTGCCCTACTGGTGTTGGGAACGCCTTTGTGAGGTGCCTCTTCACCCCTTTGCCCACCTTTGTGTCCTGTGTTCCTGCTGGTTCGGATGAGTTCTTGCAGTGAGCACTCAGGATCAGGGTCACACTAGTTCTACCCATTCCCCTCCCTGTTTATTTTTTTATTTAAGTTTCTTGAGACAGGGTCCTACGTGTACTCAGGCTGGCTAGGAACTATATGGCCCAGGTTAGCTGGGAACTCACAGCAATCCGGCCTCAGTTTCTTAAGTGCTGGGATTATAGATACAATGTGAAACTCTGTAGGGTTTTTGGTTTTCTGTGATGCTAGGTCTGCTGTGAGCCATGTCCCCAGCTTTACATAGTCTGACTTACAGACTACAGTTTGAAGAAACTATGTCTCAGAATGGATTTTCTCCTGTGATTTCTCCATCTCTTGAATTCTGAGGGCCCTGGCCTTCCAGAAGACAAAGGTGGGTTCTCCCTGTTGCAGTGGAAGAAGCCATGGCATGGCTGCTAGCTCTCCGCTGGCCCACTTCTGAGGTGCTTGTGGAATGCTGCAGTGCTGGCTGTAGGGATGCCTTGACTGCAAGGTGAGGGCCTTCCACAGTCTGGGGTATACCTGACATGCCGGCCCTTGCTGGGGCTCCTAACCTGCCTCCACTTGTGGCAACTCTCAGCTGTTGATGAGGTGGCATCAGCTGGCACAAGTCTGCAGCTCTGCCAACTTGGGTTCCTGATCCAGTTACTGTGTGACTGTGAGCAAGTTACTCAACCTCTCTGCGTATCATGGGACTAACCATACTGCCCCTGGGCTCTAGAGAGGGACATGAAGCTCACAGACTGAGCAGTTATCATGGGTGCTTGTGGGCACTATTATAATTTTAAGATTTGTCTCTCCAAAAGAGAAATGTCCCAGTGGGGATTCTGAAAATGAGCTATGCCAGTGGATTTCTTTATGAAGACTAATATGTCTTAATGGGACATGGTGGTGCACACCTGTAATCCCAGCACCTGGGAAGCTGGGGCAAGAGGATCAGGAGCTCAAGGCTGGCTTTGGCTACATAGTGAGCTGGAGGTCAGGCTGGGGTCCACCAGACTTTCTCAAAACAAGACTCATGTCTTGGGACAGCCCTTATTCTGCCTCCATCAGGCCTTCTCCCAGGGCTGCCAGGGTGTGTCTGGCTCAGGAGTGGCCAATGCCTATCAAACCAACTGGGCAGGTGGGTGCCTATTTCAACACCAGCCAGGGCCCAAGACTAGGTGGTAGTGCTCTGCTGCAGTGGCCGGCTGGTAGGCTGTCCCTGCAGGCCAGCAGGTGTGTCTGCTGCAGGTCCTCTCCCAGCTCAAGCATCAGGGCCGTCAGAGTTGGAAAAAAGTCTAGTTTATTGCATGATCTCAAAGCACAACTAAAAACTAAAACTGGAAAGAAAAATGGTACAAAGCACTGAAGTTAAAGTAGTTTAAGAGTATTCACTTGAGTTTAATTGCACTATAGTCCCATGGGCTTAGGGGAGCACTGCCATCTTAAGGAGCTAGGCAAGGCACAGCATTCACAGAAGAGGACAGCTTGGCCGGGGCTGCCTCTGCTGTCACTGAATTCCTACAAAAAGGGTTCTATAAAATCAAGTGAGATCAGGGGTCTCAAAGTTTTGTCCTCATCGAGAACCTGGAAGGCTCGCTCTTCATCACGACTAGGGCCCTTCACCTGGCACCAAGGAGCTCTGACATACATACCTGGTAGAAAATGGGCATCGAGTAACAGCCTGGGCAAGGTGGGCATAAAAAAAACAGCCAATCTAGAGCAGTGGCATGAACCTCCTTCAGGGGAGGGCAGCAGATTCGGAAGGACGCAGTGGGCAGCTTGTCCTGAAGTTCAGATGCCTGAGGGAAGAGTGCCACTGTCCCCAGGGGCCACTGTGGGGCTACCACACCTGTGGGTGGCAGGCACTGCTTTCTACCTGCTGGGGTGTCAACACTATGCCCCCTGAAAATGCTGCCCTGTGGGCTGAGGACATGCTGGGGGATGGCCACCCTCACGAGGCTACAGCCAAGAGAGGGTGGGCTAAGGATAAACCACTGGAAGGAACAGAAGACCTTCTGCTAGTTTCAGAAGATACATTTATCTTCTGAATTTGTGAGATTTGATTTCAAATGAGGTATCTTACTCAGGTTTGTAATACAACAAACAAAAAAGGCAATAATCAGATTCGTCTTCTGAGGATGTACCCAGCTTTAGGATGCTCACCAGCACACTAGTCAAATGTCATTCCAAAGATGTCTCTAGGTTATCTGGCATGGGTCAGCCCTGGTATCCAACTAACACCGCGGAGCTGGGTTGCATAGACCACATGGGCACCTCTGTGTTCTGTCTGTACCTACTGGCCATTATGTTGGCGGAGGTGTATGTTCTAGGAGTTGGGCAACTAACCTGAACATGGACAAGGTAAGGTGGGTGTGTCTGTGTGTGTTCACCCCGCACAGTTAGGTGGGTGTGTCTGTGTGTGTTCACCCCGCACAGTTAGGTGGGTGTGTCTGTGTTCACCCCGCACAGTTAGGTGGGTGTGTCTGTGTGTGTTCACCCCGCACAGTTAGGTGGGTGTGTCTATGTGTGTTCACCCCGCACAGTTAGGTGGGTGTGTCTGTATGTGTTCACCCCGCACAGTTAGGTGGGTGTGTCTGTGTTCACCCCGCACAGTTAGGTGGGTGTGTTTGTGTGTGTTCACCCCGCACAGTTAGTGCCCCCATCACAGATGAGCAAAGTTTTCCTTGCTGGAATGTCTGGCATGGAATATGCACATGGCCTGTACCTCTCACAGAGAAATGGGGCCCCTGTGATGGAGTCTACACTGTCACCAAGCACATCCCACACCTGCAGAGCTCTGACCTGCAGTTGTTGGGCCCGGGGCTCCGATGTGGGCTCACGTGGGTGCCTTGCTACCTTTGCTGGCCTCAGTTCTATCCCTAGCTCCTGGCTGTGACTCAGGTGCCTATGGCGGTTGCTGTGTCATCTCATACAATAGGACCTGGAGCTGCCCAGTGAGAACTTACCGCAGCACTCGGATAACCAGTGCATGCGACTGAGCAGGAGCCACATTCCCACTCAGAGGTGACCTTGGCAAGATGTCAAAGGTGCTGCTGTTACTGTGGCAGCTCTGGGCCTGTGGCTGAGGCTCTGAGTTCTGGAATGAGACGGAAACAAATACGGATGAAAGTAAGTGTGGGGTGTTCAGCCCAGTTGATGAGGCATATCCACAAGTGAGTCAGCTGGAAACAGTATTGTCCATCAGGGCCACGGCTTTCTCCTTCTGACTGGCTGCCCAAGGCTCCTTCAGATGACCTCCCACTCGTCCTCCAGGTCCTCGGGGTGGGAGGTGGCCACCTGGTTATTCTTCTGGGTGCTGTGTGAGTGGCTGAATGTCTTTGTCAGCCGTTGGAGGAGGTAGCCAGGGGGGCCCACTGCCCATAGTTCATCTGATGAGGTCACTGCAAGGACAATAGCCAGTCACAACCCTGTTAACCATACAGTTCAGGACAAAAGCACAGGCTAGCCTGAAACTCAGAACACTCTGCTACCTGCCTTGGCCTCCAAAGTGCTGGAATTACAAGGGTAAGCAGCCGTATCAGGCAGTTTGCTCAGTGCACAGCAGCACTCTGTCCCAGTCAGGAGACTTGCAGAGCCTGTGTCGGGATCCCTCCCGCAGGTGGGCCTTGCCCTCAGCTCTGGCTGTAGGGGATGGAGCTGAGCAGGAGCAGCCTCTTCTAGAGTTCCCTCCCATCGGCCCCCAGGCCCCAGCACCTGCCTGTGACACATGACGCGCTTCCGGGAATCTTCTTCCAGTAGTCCCCAGCAGGATTTTTGTCTGTGACACCATATCGGCGGGCAAGGTCACCATTTGGACAGCGTGCCCACACAGTCCTGGTGCTCAGTGTCAGCTGACAGGCCTGCAACCCTGTGGGCAAATGGTATCTGCTCAGCTCCAGAGCACACAGGACAAAGTATCACTCCCCAAGATTCTCTCTCTAGACATTGTACTGGCCACCAGGGCTTCCTGTGGTAACAGTGCCCTGTGTTGTACCATGCTGGGCACCAAGGGAAACGATGCCCTGGCAGGGTTAGCCCAGCCATGAGAGCCTGAGGCTTCACAGCAGGGTCTGGGCAGTGGGAAAGCTACTATCCCATAAACACCCCAGTAAGCTGACCTGCCCACTCCCAGCAAAGAGGACTCTTTACAGCTTTGCCTGGCTCGTGCTTTAGAACATCTTGGACCCAACAGAACACCCAGGACTAGCATGTGGCTAGTCCACTGGCTGGATGACAGGCTACTTTACAGACAATGGGCCTGGGGGTTCTCAGGTCAAAACAGCCCCTTGTGATTTCAATGCTTGGCTTGCCTGGCACCGTGGGCTGTGGCCATAAACATGATAGCTGAAAACTGGGGCTGTGTGGGGGTCAATGAAGTGCCTGTTGGCTTGTCCCTACCTGGTACGTGCTCCCAGTCTGTCCCCACAGGCATCTCCTCACTGATTCCAGTTCGCACGTGCACATTCCACCTGCTGTCGAGCGCCCACAGCATCTGGTCATTAGGGCTGGAATGGACACTGACCAAGGTGACCCCGGCAGGCTAGAAACAGGAAGGTTATTCCTCAGAGGAGGAGGAAGTGACAAGTGGAAGGACGAGAGGCTCGGACTGGGCGCCCACCAGGGACTACAGAAGAACGCAGCCTGACAGCCTTGGGGAGCCGGCGTGAGCAGGAGGGGTGAGGCAGGTGCAGCCTCTTGGCAGCTCTGCCCCTGGCATGCAGCCTTACAGGGAGGAAAGACACTCACGATTATCCTCAGAATGTCAACACGTCAGACTGTGTGACGGCCCACTAGACAACCAGCCAAGACTTCAGAAGCCTAGGTGGCCTGGCTAAGGGAGGGAGTTAACAGAAGAAACGGAAGGCCAGGCCTGGATGGCAGAGGACAGCAGAGAAAGGCAATGCTGATGTCCAAGCCTAGCTGATGTGTCAAGTGGGTGCCACATGGAGAGGAAATGATACCCTGTAGACCGCCTACATGCAACCTGCCCTGGCCATCCTCACATACACCAAGGGGCACACGGGCAGCCTCCAGCTGGCCAGGTTCACCTTGGGCCAGAGTCCCGTCTTAGCTCCAGCAGTTCCCGTCTGTGCCTTTGCTTCAGGTGACATTTCCCACGTGGGACACGGGAGATGGGAGCAAGGAAAGCCAGCAGGAGCCAGATCTCAGGTAGGCACCAGGCTGGCTGCCCGCCCTGCCCCTTGGCAGCCCTTGGCCACACTCAGTGTGTCCTGCCATGTTGTCAACATTTTGTTTTAGGTTTTGTTTTTTGAGACAGGGTCTCTCTGTAGCCCCAGCTAGCTTGGACCTCACCATGTAGACCAGGCTCATAGAGGTTTGCCTGCCTTGGCCTCCCGAGTACTGGGACTACCACACCCAGCTGTGTTGTCAACTTTTAACAGACAAGAGTAAATCTTCCCAGTGTCTTGTTTGCTGCCCCAGGGCTGGTCACCCCCAGCTGGACCAACTCTCTGTGCTTTAGAGGGCAGAGCTGCCTGGGGTCCAGGTGAATAGCTGAAGCTGTCCCCTGGGCTGACACTTCCTTCCTGAGTTCAGCTGGTTCCTGGTTCCTGTTCCTGCTGCTCTCAGGGCCCCGCTTTCCTGGGTTCTGGCCAGTGGCATCTTCACTCGCAGCTGTTCTGTACCTCACAGAGAGTTCATCATGACGCGTGCTTCGAGCCACACTTTACCCACAGTGAGCTCCTATCACGATGCTGACATCACACCTCTGCTGGCTCCAGCTGCCATGCTCTTGGGACAGGGCACCCTGGGTGGAGTCACCTGTCCCTGTGCATTCACACGTACTCACCACCTGCTGTACTTCTCAGCCACTGGCTGTTCTCGGTTGGGGCTTCCCATTGCTGAGTGAATGAACGGGGGCATCAAGGCCCCTGCATAGAAGGAACCTTCCTGTGAGGGCGGAGGGGGAATAGGAGAAGGAGGGGCAAGGCAACTGTGATGTATGGGTGTGGATGAGCAAAGGATGTCAGAGTCGGGGTTGTGGGTGAGCAGTGAGCAGGATGCCACAGGACTCTGTCTCACCCTTGAGTGTTACAGGGAGCATAAAACAGAGGCACACCAGAAACCAAGTCACCTTCAAAGGTCAACCCCTAGGCCAGTAAGATCAAAGGGTACATAATGCCACAGATGGCCCCTGCCTACTTTAGCTCTGTAACTAATCTACTTGGACTACCACAGGGCCACATAGCCTGGGCTTACTGCCCACTCCCACTTTTGGGGTGCTGGTTGTACCCAAATGAGATGCCTTGGGGTATCCCCTCTGAGCATATGTTTAATCTGCAGTCTGCCTGTCTCCACCCCCATGGACCTGGGGTCCCAAGGTACAGATTCTCGGGAAGGCTGTTCTGGGTCAAGACCCTGATCCTACGAAGTGTGACGGGCACAAGGGAAGGGAGGGAAGAGGCTGGCCCACTCTGTAACTGAGCAGAGCAGGGAAGATGGGTTGTTTGCCCCCACAGCAGAGGCAGGGGAAGGGGCACTGGGCCCAGCCTGCCTCCACACACCCTGAGTATTGGCTATGCAACAAGCCATGAATGTGTGACTCTACAATTATAAAACTGTCAATTGAATAAAGAAGTAAGCAGCTAAAATTTTGGCTCAGTCGCCTTTGAAACTTCATACAAATAATAAAAAGAATGAAGAATACAATTTGTAACGCAGAATTAATAAAGAGTTTTAGAATAATGGCTGGTGGGGCTAGAGAGATGGCTCAGCAGTTAAGAGCACTGGCTGCTCTTGCAGAGGACCCAGGTTTGGATCCCAGCATCCACATGTCAGCTAACAACTGTCCGAAACTCCAGTTCAAGAGGAATCTGATGCCCTCTTCTGACCTACACAAGCACCACACAACATACATGCAGGAAACACACTCATACAAAAAAAAAAATAATAGTTAAAAAAAAAAAAAAAGGATAGCCGGGCATGGTAGTGTACACCTATAACCCCAGCACTCGCGACGCAGAGGCAGGTGGATCTCTGTGAGTTCAAGTCCAGCCTGGTCTATATAGTGAGTTTCAGGACAGCTACAGGGAGACCCTGTCTCAAAAAGATAAAAAAAAAACAAAAACAAAACCAAACAACCCAAAAAACAAAACAAAAGGATAGTGGCTGGTGAGATGTGGCACATGCTATACCGCCAAGCCTGATAGCCTGAGTTCAGTCCCAGGACCCAGACAGTGCAAGGAGAGAGCCAACACCTGCAAGCTGTCTTCTGACCTCCACGTGTGTGTGGTGACATGTGCCCCCTTCCACCAGATAAATGTGATAAAAAAAAACAACTTAGAAAGAGTCAATAATAATATAGAAACATTAAAACCTTATGCATCGACTTGGAAAGCTGAGAGAGAAGTACATCCATCTGCGCACACATATACGTAAGTGTCATTTACTGAGAGATTACAAAAGGTTACAGGGGGCAGGGCTAGAGAGGTGATGCAGAGGTTACGAGCATCTGCTGTTCTTCCAGAGGACCAGGTTCAATTCCCAGCACCCACATGGCAGCTCTGTTGCTGTCTTCCAGCCCTTGTGGGCACTGCACACATACCATAGGCATACAGGTAATCCAAACACTTGTACAAATAACAATAAATAAATCTGAAAACAAAACCAAATGAAAAACCAAAAGGCTACAGGATAGAGGTGGGGAGGAGCCAGGTCCCCATTCAGGAGTGATTTAATAACAGCCACCAACACCTGAGATGTTTGTAGATCAGAAGGGATGCTGGTGGCTGAGGTCCTTTAAAGGAAGACAGGTGGCATAATGTGGTCCCATGTTCTCTAATGACAACCTCAGGGTCGTCACTCATTATTGGGGACAACTCAGGCCATTATTTCTTCTCCCGATTCCCTCCCTCTGTCATCAGGGGAGGAGATGACAACTGGGACTATTATTTGCTCATGCTCCAGTCCCGGTCACTGTGCCTTGGGCTCCATAGTGAGACCCTGTTTGAACAAGAACCAAAACAAAGAAACAACACCCTCCAGAGATGTTACTACCAGGAGACAAAAGACTTCTCAGAAATTGGAAATGTGTTCATAGGGATGGTAATAGGAGAGCTGGAAGTTGAGGATGTCTTCTAGAAAGGTGAATAAAGCATAAAGACACAAAAAGCAGGGGATGAGGAGACAGTTCAGTTGGTAAAGTGCTTGCTGTACAAGCATTAGAACTTGAGTTTGAGGGGCTGGAGAGATGGCTCAGCGGTTAAGAGCACTGGCTGTTCTTACAGAGAACTGGGGTTTGATTCCCAGCACCCATATGGTGGCTAACAACCACCTTAATTCCAATTCCAAGGGATCTGATGCCCTCTTCTGACCCCCACGGGCACTGCATGACACAGGTGCACTTATATGCATGCAGACAATAAATCCATACACATAAAATAAAAATAATAAATAAAGTTGGGCATGGTAGTACACACCTTTAATCCCAGCACTTGGGAGGTAGAAGCAGGTGGATCTCTGTGAGTTCAAGTCCAGCCTGGTCTACATACTGAGTTCTAGGTCAGCTGGGGTTACAGGGAGACCCTATCTTTAAAAGACCAGAAAAAGGGGCTGGAGAGATGGCTCAGTGGTTAAGAACACTGGCTGTTCTTGCAGAAGACCCAGGTTTGAATCCCAGCACCTACATGGCAGCTAACAACTGTCTATAACTCTAGTTCCAGGGGATCTGACAGCCTCTTCTGACCTCCTCGGGGATTGCACAACAGGGTACACTTTCATACATGCAGGCATAACACTCATACACATTAAAAAAAAAAAAAAAGAACTTGAGTTTGATCCCCAGCACACATGTACAAAGCCAGATGTGGTGGTCCTGGGTGGCCTCATTTGGGTACTAGCAGGACCTCCGTGCTGAGAGAGCTATCATGGTTTGAACATGAACTACCCACCCAGAGGAGTCATGTGAAGTCTTAGTCCCCAGCTGGTAGAGCCTGGGCTACATCAAAACTTGTCTCAAAACACTAAAAAAACAGGTGTGGGGAAATGTAGAAGGCCCAGTGAGTACAGTGCTTGCTCTACCTGATTCCCAGAACCCATGTAAAAGCTGGGCATGGCCACATGCATCTGTAACCCCAGGGCTGGGGCATAATAGAATCAAGCAGATCCCAAGGGTTTACTGCCAGCCAATCTAGCTTAAGTGCTGAGTTCCAGGTCTAGTGAGAGACAGTGTCTCAAAAGAAAAAAAATGTAGAGGGCTATGGAGGGACACCTGATGTAGACCTCTGGCTTCCACATTTGCATATACAGGCAAGTGTATCTACATGTTCACATACACTCATCTCTGTCTGTCTCTTTCTTGCACACACAGATGTGCACACACATGCAAAGCAGGATAAAAATCTAATCACAAAAATTTCAAAACAAACAAAAAGCTACAACAGAGAATATAAAAACTAAAATAACCCTAACCAAGGATGTGAAAGAACTCTATAATGAAAACTTTAAAAGGCGTGGTGGCACACATCTTTAATCCCAGCACTCCAGAGGCAGAGGCAGGTGGATCTCTGTGAGTTCAAGGCC